GCTGTTCTCAAATCCTACCTCTCTTCTGAAGGCCTTATCCATGCAGACTCCTTCAACCACTCTTGTCCACACCAACTTTCTCTAACCTTAGATCACTTATATTGTGCCACATGACTAACAATCATACACTGTCATATTCACAAATTTGTTTTCCTTTTTACCTTTTTCCCTCACAGTTTAGCCCCTGAAAATTTACAGCTAAATACCCAGTAAACACTTCTACTACACCTGTTGATGTGGTCTTTTCTTTACCTAGTAGTTAAGTGCTGATGATCCCCTGACTCAAGCAAGTGCTTCCTGTGTGTGAAGAGCACTTCACACCTCTTTTCACTCAGCACTCATATTCCTGAGGCCCACTCCCTGAGAGAAAGCCCTCCCTACTACAATGTCTATCACACACATGTAGCAGTAGGGGGTGCTGGGAAAGCTAAAAATTACAGACTTTCCCTGTGCATTTGTAACACCTCCCAAACATCACTAAATTAAACTCTTCCTAAACCATATTCAAATCTGCCACTCTAATGATGATTACAGAGTTGAATCTACAGAGTTTAGAGTTATATGTAACTATACCAAGGAAAGGAACTAACTCTCCAAAAAACTGCTTCCTAAAACAAGGGAATGAATCCAGCTTCCAGAGAATTTATATTCTTTTCCTTGGTGGAGCAATAAGACTCACAAGAGAAGCTTCTTATGGCAAGCCAAATTCAATTCAATTAAGTTTGTTGCCTCTATGCTCCCCACAGCAGCCCCACAAACTCCCAAAGTACAGCAATATGTGAAGACCATCTAGTCTAATGGTCAATGTAGAGATGACAGAGTGACATCCAAGGACAAATCTACTTATACTTTGGGGTAGGGAGCACATGAATCATCGGCCTACTACTCATAGAAGTTCAAAAGGCTAAGAAGGTGTCAAAATAAGTCCAGATAATCAAGAAAGTTCAGAAATGTAGAAAGACTATCCTGTCATGGCTATTTGGCACTTCCAATACAGATAAGAGAAAGGGCTAAAATCTACTAACTGACCAACTATGTATCAGGTGCCTTATTCATGTTCTTTCATTAACTTGTGTCAAGAAAGGGAATCTGGACCTAGTATATGGAAGCAGAGCTTCTCCTGTCTGAAGGCATTCAGAGAAACAGTTTTGGAATGTCTTCAGCTGTGGCTTCAATCAGTGCACTGTATTTTGGTATATGTGTTGACAGCAAATAAAAGACTAACAGAACCCCTAGGCAAAACAGAACTTTGAAAATGCTGACATCCACAACAAGAAGGGACATACACAGCTCAGGAATTAGAGGATGGGTCAGAGAGTTACTTCTTTATGGGACAGTAACTGCCTTTATTCCCTTAACAGACAACAAGTCCCTGAAAGCAACTACTCTACACAGTACAAACTAAGAAGAAATAGCTTGATTCACAAAATGAATCTAAAAGATGCTCCCCTGCCCCAGGAGGCAAAAAGCAAGATAGTGGCTGGAAGTTCTTTTTCTTTTGCCTTTCCTTTTTTTTTTTGGCAGTACTAGGGATGTTTCAAACCCAGAGACACTCTACCACTGAGCTACATCCCCAGCCCTTTTTAATTGTTATTCTTAGGGTCTCACTAAGTTGCCCAAGCTGGCCTTTAATTTGCAATCATCCTGCCTCAGCCTCCCAAGTAACTGAGATAAGAGAAGTGCACCACTTCACCCAGCCTAAGTTCTTAAAATACAACACAGGGAATCAAAAGTGTTTTATTTCTGAGGATATAAGAATTCATTTTCTTTTTCAAGCTACATGACTTTATGCTTCTTTACCATATGGCATGCACTATGTCTTCCAAATAATATCATCTCACATTTGTATTGTGTTTATACAGCAATTTCAAGTACATTAACTAAATCCTCCATAACATTTTAGATAGGTAATATAGTACTCCACCCAGCTATTAAAACAATAATTACTACTGAATTGTACAGGATCACGTGGGATTTCAGAATTATTAGTCCACATATGAGGAGAAGATGTGTTGAATGTGAGGAAAATTTTAAAAATATATTATATCCATAACCCCAGCAACTTGGAAGGCTGAAGCAGGAAAACTGTAAGTCCAAGGCCAGCCTGGACATCTTAGCAAGACCCTGTCTCAAAATTTAAGAAGGGCTAGGGAATGCAGCTCAGTGGTAGAGTGCTTACTCATCACACACAAGGCCCTGGGTTCAATCCCCAGTACTTAAAAAGAAAGAAAGAAAGAAATGTGCTGCCTTTCTGAATCTTAGTCGATGCCAAAGGATCAAAATCCTTTGAGCATAAAGGCTCTCCCTATCTGAAGAGCCTAAAATTAAATGCCTTAAACTCTGAATATGCTCAGTACTCTCTGGCAATTAACCAGGGAACAAAGTGCTTCTATTATCCATATTCTTATTACAGACATTATTAGTCCAGGAACTACTAACAGCTATTTCTAACAAATGTTCCATGGAATCATACACTGAAAAAAAGGACTAGTCTTTGACCTGTGTTATACCTGCCTCTCCTCCTCTGCCTCAGTCTGGTCTACTATTTGGGGAAGGGAGGCAGAGGGCTCGTAAGGGAATATAGTGGGGAGGAGTAGTGGGGGTTTAAGAAGCAGAACCTTAGAGCTGTGTTGTAATCATGTGCGTAAAGAAAGGCTTAAGATGTGCCAAATGTCCAAAGTAGGAAGCAGGCAAAGGAAGCAATGTGATTTCCTTTCTGCTAGGGATTCCCCTCTTGGGCTAAGCAGAAGGTTAAAAAAAAAAAATTAAAAAAAAAAAATACAGCCCCTTTGCCAGAGTTAATAAAACCCAAGGATAATGGGGATTCTGGGAGGTAAAGGGTTCTAAAATGTCAAATCAGTGGTGTCCACATCATTCTTTTGTAAAGATATAATAATGTCAAATGTTTTCAAGGGGGAACCAGGTCTCAAGTCTAATAGGGTATCACGTACTCTGTTACGTAAAAAATACCCATTAATGATAGTCACCATGTTGGAGAACAAAGTTACAACAGGGAAATTCATATAGTTGCTTGGAAAATAGCCCATCGTTGGGAATGGCAGCAGTAACCACAGCTGAAAATCATTTTATCTACTCTTGCATAATACCTACAACTTTTTCTTAAGAGTTTTATATCTTACAACAGCACTTTAACATACATTATCTTATGTAAATATAATTAAGGCTCTTCTGAATCATAGAAGTTTAAAAAGATGTTTCAGTTCACTGTTTTTGTTTAAACATATATATTTTTTTTTACTTGTAGCTGGACACCATGCCTTTATTTTATTTTTATGTGGTGCTGAGGATTGAACCCAGTACCTCACACATGCTAGGCAAGCACTCAACCTCTGAGACACAACCCCAGCTCTCAGTTTACTCTTAAATTCAAACAAAGAGGCTCTCTTGCTTCTTATTTCTTTTACTTACACCAGCTTGGAGAACAAACAAGTCAAAGTCTCTACTGGGAACTGTCTTCCAGTCATTGCTGGATCATTTGCTCCTATCTATTGCCTCCAAATAACTCTTTCTGTTCAAGTGTCAAACACTTGAACAGGAAAAAGAGGAAAGACCTAGGGAGCTGCTATTGTTATACTACTACTTCCTGTTGCATAAATAACCATTCACTTCCAATCTTCATCCATTTTAGGATATTTCCCTTCTAAAAGTCTGACCAAAGACAAAGCAACTTCTCTTGTTTGATGACTCCTAGAAAACTCTTCTAAAAAGCTCTTAAAACAAACTTTCTTCAATTATTTAGTTTACATTCTACAAAAGTCATTTACATGTCCTATACTCCACTTATTCATGCCCCCAAAGACTGCTCAGGCCTTGGGAAAGAAAACTATCTTTCTGTAAAGGCATCAGTCTTAATAGTTATTGTGGTTTTTTCAAAGGTGCTCTGCATTTGTTTTTGTTTTTTGGCAGTACTGGAGATATAACCCAGGAGCATTCCACCACTGAGCCACACCCTAGCCCTTTTAAATTTTTATTTTGAGACAGGGTCTCACTAAGATGCAGAGTTGCAATCCTCCTGCCTCAGTCTCCAAAGTTAATGGGAATATAGGCATGACACTGCCCCTGGCTCAAATGTGCTCTTCAGCTGGGTGGGGTAGTGCATGCCTGTAATCCCAGCAGCTTGAGAGGCTGAGCCAGGAATTTAAAGCCAGCCTCAGCAACTTAGCGAGGCCCTAAGCAAGATAATTCTAAATAAAATATAAAAAAGGGCTGGGGATGTGGCTCAGTGGCTAAGCGCCCCTGGGTTCAAATCCAGGCACCAAAAAAAAAAAAAAAAAAAGAAAGAAAAGTGCTCTTCATCTGAAGAATCATTTTGTGGTGCCCCCAAAGTCTCAAATAGAGATGAAAAAGCCTGTCACCCTTCCCTTATCCCATGTATACTCCACTTCCCTGTCATTCAAACACGTCAGTTTTAATTACTCTATAATATTTCCTTTCTACTCATTATCACTATCTCTTGCAGTTTTTTCTTCCCTCCCACTTTCTTTCTTAAAGCTTGTTTTAATTAAAAGCTTTTTAACTTTTTTTGGCTATGGTTGTTTCTAAAAGACATCCCAGTTGTTCAAGTCTAAACAGCATTAAATTCACATGCTGGATAGATACCTAGTTGTTGGCTCTGGGGAGAAGTCTTAGGAACTAAAAACAAATCACCCTTCTTAACCTTAGACATTAAGACATAACTGAAGCTTGGCTTTTAAAAATCATTACTACATATATCTGGTTTCTGCCTCAAGAGGTCTAATGGTATATGCTTGAGTGTGACATCTGTAAGGGACAGTTGGTTCAGTCCTTTGGTTAACAGAATAACCAGATTTACTATTTAAAGCCATTAATACAACTTTTTGTATTAATAAAATCATAGCTGGTTGTCACATGACTGCTGAGAAAAATGCAGCCTTCTGGACAAAGCATAGCCTGTTGGCCTGACACAGAATCTGACGGCACAGCATGTTGCCTCCTCTGGCTGTGGCGGCAGAACATACCTCTTCATAATTTTTCGCCTCCACTCCATGCTTCATGTCTAGGATCACGAGTTGGTCAGGTATCCGCCCTGTCCCTGAAAAAGAAATCAAAAGAATCATTGTGCAGAATATTTAAAATTCCGGGAAATCACCCACCCACCTCCCTCTCCCTCACCCCTATCCTCTCAATAGAGGGAAACAGACACAACTCCTCCCCCTACTCAGCTGCAAAAAATTCCTGGCTCTGGCTAAAATCACAAACATTCCAGACAAAGCCTCTATCTGTGTGGGGTGCCGGAAAGCAAAGAGAACATGCTGCTGGCAAACATCTCTGAGCAGGCACGACACAAGATACTGCTACTGGTACTACAGAGGAGTAGAATAGGAGAAGAAAAAACACATAGGCTTTTCAATTGGAAAATAAAACTCAAAAATCACAACCCTGTGAAATTTACTGGCATACAGATCAGTAGGAAGTGAGTACCAACTTAGGCTGAAAATGCACATTTCCACATCTGAAAAGAATGCCTGTTAAATTTTGAAAGCAAGTCATGCTCAATTAGGATTACTGAGTACATGCTAACTTTGAATTTATTTAACACAAATCTGAGTATTGAAAAGAATATAGGTTTTTAATCTAATATTCCATTTTAAGTCAAATGTTCTGATCAATGTAAGGCTTATTTTAATAGATGAATAAAATGTTATAAAGTTATTCCCACTAAATCCTTAAAGGAGTTAGTTATAATTAAAAAAAAAAAAACTTGACAGGAAGCACAATTCTCAGGGATGTTTCTTAGAAAGAAAATTTCTATTGGGATAATAGGGCCAACAACATATTTGTATTAGAAAAATTAACTGTTTTCAGTGTGACCAAAAAGGAATTCTATGATGGCACATACCTGTAATATTATCTACTCAAAAGGCTAGGGCAGAGAATCCCAAGTTCAAGGTCAGCCTGGGCAACTTAGGAGAAGACACTGCCAGTGGCAGCGTGCCTCTGGGTTCAATCCCTAGTACTGCCCCCCACCCCCAACCTAACCTTCTATTTATTTCTTTGTTTGTTTGTTTATTTTTTTAAGTTGTAGATGGACACAATACCTTTATTTATTTATTTTTATGTAGTACTGAGGATCAAACCCAGTGCCTCACAGGTGCTAGGCAAGTGCTCTAGCACTGAACCAAACCCTAGCTCCTCAATCTAACCTTAAATCACTAAATAAGAGAGGAGAGGGAACAACTCAAAAGAGCCCCAAGAAACCATTCGGTTCAAATTCCTTGGATTTCATCTATTTATAAAACTAAAAACCACCTGTATGAAATTAGAGGTTTTGGGAAACAGTGCCACTTAAGAACTGAGGTCTTTAAGAACAAAAGTCACAGGGGATGGTACTCGACCCTCTACTGCTTGAGAGACACTGAAAGTTTTCTGAAATGGACTGAAGTAAATTTAAAAAATTACTCATTGAGCCAGGAGTGGAGGCACAAGCTTGCAATCCCAGCAGCAACTCAGGAACCTGAGGCAGGCATGAGGATTGCAAATTCAAGGTCAGACTCAGCAACTTAGTGAGATCCTGTCTCAAAATAAGAAGTTTTTTTTTTTTTTTTTTTAAAGGCTGGGGATATGACTAAGTGATAGAGCATCTCTGGGTTTAATCCCCAGTACCCGCCACTCCCCCAAAAAACTACTCACTGAGGACTCACTTGGAGCTAGAACTGTACTGAAAGACTCTCAAAAGGTATACTCTCTGCCTTCAAATAATTCAGTGAGGATCTAAGACATCCATACATATAACAGCAAAGCACTGTAAAATTTTGAGCCAAAACAACTGGCTCAGATAATCCCTGCTGTGAAGGAAAGGTAAGAGGTGAGCTGTGGACTGCCTGCTGAGAAGGGAGTACCTGGGCCCAATGCAGTGGGGCATACCTATAATCCCAGCAGCTGGAGTGGCTGAGGCAGGCAGATTGCATGCCTCAGCAACTCAGCGAGACCTTGTCTCTAAGTAAAATATAAAAAAGGGCTGGAGTTATGACTCAGTGGTTAAGCCCCCCTAGGTTCATCCCTCCTGGTATCAAAAAAAGAAAAAAAAAAAGAGAAGGGAATACCTGAAGGTAAGACTCAAGCAAAATATTCTAGACAGAAGGCAAAGCATGGACAAAGGCTCAGATAGTGGAAATCAGTATGTAATGTTTAAGACAGTAAGTAATTTATTTTGGATAGACTAGAAAGATAAATTTGAAAGCAAGAGAAGTATACAGGAAGATTAAGACAAGTCATGATGATTTCTGAGCATTAAACCAACAATCTCCAAGCAAATCAAACATGGCACCCAGAGTAGTTTCTTCTCCCCTAATCTGAATGTAATGAAGATTATGACATCACCCACAGAAGATGTTCTTTTGCCTTTCTGTCTTCATTTAAAAAGCTGTGAACACAAGTAGCTTCTAGCCTGACATGATTCAAATGATCAGATATGTTCTTTCTATCAGAATCTTCAGTTTATCTCCTGTTTGTCACAGCACAGTATTAACATTTTTCAAGTCTAAGTGAAACCACAAAACCACAAATGTCTGGCTGGCCTAATTTTAGACCATATAGTCTCTTGCATAGAATAGCCAGTTTATTCCCTTAGCTGATATCATGGCCTAAAAAGACACTTTCAGTAAATCTCTTTCTGTATTTGCCTGGAAAATGATAATCTCCCCCCTTTTTAATTATAACTTTATTTTGTTTGAGCAATTTTAGGTTCAGAGCAAAACTGAGAGGAGGGTAGACAGACTTCCCATTTCCCCTTACTCCTACATGTGCATACCCTTCCTCATTATCCACATCTCCTGCCAAAGTGGTAACCTGTTATAAATGATGCACCTCAACAATACATCATTATCACCCAAAGCCCACAGTTATATTAGGTTCCCTTTTGACTTACATTCCAAATGTGATGCTGGGATCAATGTATGATGACATGTATCTACTACTAAGTTTCACACAGTTTTTTTTTTCTTATATCTTTTTTACCCTGTTTTTATTGGTGCATTGTTAATTATACATAATGGTGGGATTCATTGTTTCATATTCACACACACATACAATATAATAATTTGGTCAATATCATTTCCCATTATTTCCCTATTCTATCTCTCCTCCTCCATGTGGTCCCTTTTCTCTGGTGTACTGGTCTCCCTTTGATCTTCACGAGATTCCCCATCCCCTTCTTTTCCTTTTTTCTCTCCACCTTCCACATAAGAGAGAAAGCATATGACCCTTGACTTTGCTGAAAATAATGTTCTCAAGTTCCATCCATTTTCCTACAAATGATATAATTTCATTCCTTATGGCTGAATGAAATTCCATTTTGTATACATACCAAATTTTCTTTATCCATTCATCAACTGGCGGACGCCTGGTTAGTTCCATAAGTTGGCTAATATTAATTGCACTGCTATAAACATGGGTATGTATTGCTATAGTATGTCAAGTGCTCCACAACTGAGCCACAACCCGAACTTCCCTATAATTTTTTGTATTCTTAATGGCTGCCATTCAGACTAGAAAGAGACAAAATCTCAGTGTAGTTTTGATATGCATTTCCCTAACTGCTAAAGATGTTGAAATTTTTTTCATATATTTGTTGGCCTTCTATACTTCTTTTTTGAGAAGTGTCTGTTTAGTTCATCCACCCATTTATTAATTGGGTTATGTGAGGGTTTTTTCTTGTATATTCTGGGTATTAATCCTAAGAAGAATAGCTAACAAAGATTTTCTCCCATTTTGAAGGTTCTCTCTTCACATTTTTAATTGTTTCCTTTGCTGTGCAGCAGCTTTTTAATTTGATGATACCCATTTATTAATTCTTAGTATTATTTCCTGCCTATTGAGGAAGTTGCTGCCTTTGCCTATATATTGAGGTGTTGACCTACATTTTCTTTTCTTTTTTTTTTAAATTAATTTTTTAATTTGTTCTACTTAGTTGTACATGACAGCAGAATGCATTTTAATTCACTATACACAAATGGAGTGCAACATTTAAATTCTCTAGTTGTATATGGTGTAGAGATGCGCCATTTGGGCAATCATACATGTACCTAGGGTAATGATGTCCATCTCATTCCACTATCTTTCCTACCCTTATAACCTCTCTCAACCCTCCCCTTTGCCCAATTCAAAGTTCCTCCACCCCCACCCCCCTACCCCCATCATAGATAGCATCCACTAATCAGAGAAAACATTTGGCCTTTAGATTTGGGAGATTGGCTTACTTCACTTAGCATAATATTCTCCAACTCCATCCATTTACCTGCAAATGCCATAATTTTATTCTCTTTTAATGCTGATTAACCCTACATTTTCTTCTAGGTTGCAAAGTATAATTCCTAAGTATTTGATTATCTTAGTTGACTTTTGTGCAGAGTGAGATAAGGACCTCATCTCATTCATAGAAGAATGGATAACCATTTTTCTAAACACTGTAAAAAAAGTCTGATTTTTCTCTAACATACGTTTTTGGTACCTTTGTCAAGGATCAGATGACTATACCAGTATCTTCTATTCTGTTCCATTGGTCTATATCTCTGTTTTTATGCTAGTATGATGCAGCTTTTGTTAATATAGCTCAGAAGTATAATTGAAGTTAAGTATTATGATGCCTTCTAGCATTGCTTTTTTGACTTAGAATTACTTTGGTTATTCTGGACCTTGTACTCCCCCAAGTGGATTTTAGGACTGTTCCCCTCCACCACCACCCTAATTCTATGAAAAGTGTTATTGGTTCACAAGGTATTCTCTGTGCTTTACTTCATCACTCTTCTACTCCACCTAGACAATCTTTCAGAAGATGCTTCAAAGGCCACAAGACATCAAATCTCCATATCAGAAGGAAGGAAAACTAAATTGAAACTAGAAATGAACTGTTGTCTATAGCAGGGGGCACTACAGAGTTGGAGAAGATGCTCAATTCAAGGAAAATCTTCTGATTACTTACCCTTGCTCTCAAAACATACTTCAAACATGTCATAATCTTCAGTGGTAAAAGCAAACTTCCCCTTGGATGCATCTTCCTTGGAGTATAAAATATGTCCAGCAGAATCTGTGATCTAAAATAAAAATATAAGAATAGGCAGCAAATAACACTCAGAAAGGGTACTTATAGAAATTGGGGATAGAATGAGACATTATCCATAAAAGATAGTTAATAGTCCTCAGCAACATTACTATGCTCCAACCATCTCCAAAGATGAGACTGGATTAGAATATGAAATCTAAATACAGTAATAAATTATATTCATTCAAAAAGCCTAACCACACTTGAGTCTCAAATCTGCTGCTGCTATAGGATGTCTTACCTTACGAAAAATTGATCCAGCCAATGTTCTAAGTTATGTAACTTGCATTTATTGGGGAAAAAAACCCCACTTTATACCAAGTAGAATTCAATCATTTCCTATAGAGGGACATGTCACATATACAATACACAAGAAGAGAAAAAATATATAAAAACACATTTATTCTCTAAAACAAATCCTGACAGGGCAGAAGTATGAAAGTGGAATGGAAAAGAAGGTGTGCATGGAGAAGAACATCTGGGAGAGCTACTCCTGCAAACTTTGTGTCAATGGCTACACAGTGGGAGCAAGACATGGGGTATAAACAAAAAGTTTCTCCTGAGAGACATCTTTGACTTTCTAAAATGATTATTCCTTTCTTGTAGGTTGCTTTAAACTGCTCCGTTACTGAAGAATGGCCTACAGGTGTGTGTAATCCCAGTGGCACTGAGAAGCTGTGGCAACAGGATCAAAAGTTCAAGGCCAGCTTCAGCAATTTACAAGGCCCTAAGCAACTTAGCAAGACCCTGTCTCAAAATAAAAATAAAAATGGCCGGGGATATAGCTCAGCGATGTAAAGTGACCCTATATTCAATTCTCAGTACCACTTAAAGGAGAAAAAGAAAAAGACTTATAAGCACAGAAGAAGGGGCATATATTATTAAGTGAATGGCCACATACAAAGCAAGGTATGATGTGGTAACTTAAAAAAATTGGATTCCAGGCTAAGAGCACATGGCTGTCTTAGCAAAAGGCATATTTCATCATCTAAGTCAGGAAGCTACTTTGCAATGTGAAACATAAAAATAGTGGCTTCATTAAACTAAACTAGATGTTCTAATGCTGTTTGTTAAAATAGACTTCTTCCAAAGGGACAAAACAAACATTCTTTATAATTCTTTTATAGGCAAAATTCTTTTATAGGCAAAACTATAAACAGGAAAAATGGAGTAGCATACATTTAAGTTTATATATTTAAAAGCACCCTTTTTTTCTTTTTGGTAGTGCGTATTAAACCTAGGGGCACCCAGCCCTTTTTTATTTTTCATTTTGAGACAAGGTCTCACTAAGTTGCTCAGGGACTTCCTAAATTGCTGAGGCTGAGATTCTCCTGCCTCAACCTCCCGAGCTGCTATGATTACAGGAATGCACCACTATGCCTGTTAAAAGCACTTTTTAACAGTAGTTAATTCTGAGTCATAAGATTTCTCTTCAAACTTTAATATTTTCTTTTAATTTTCCACAAAGGTATATAGTCAAAAATAATAATAAAGCTATTTCACTTTGGAAAAAATTTTTAATAACTAAAGAAGATTATCATTACTCAACTTGAAAGATGTGTTAATGAAAAAGGGTTTGTTATAATAATAACAGCAGTTAATATTCGTGCAATATTTTCTGCCATCAAACATCATTAATTTTTCAAGCACTGAAGATACTTAGATCTGTGTTGGTCACAGGATTTGGGATGAGTAAGATCCTACCTTCGAAGTGCTTAAGAATCTAAATAAAGATAAGGTATAAAAAACAATACACCTTCATTTTAGTTTTGATTTGCATTTGCCCGATTAGTGATGATGGACACCTTTTCATATATATGTTGGTTATTTGTACAAGGTGATGGAATATGTTAATGAACTTGATTGTGGCAATCACCTCACAATGTATATCAAAATATCACATTGTACATCTTGAATATATATAATTTCCACTTATCAATTATACCAAAATGAAGCAGAAAAAGAAATAAAACAGCTTCATTGCAATGTGGATGGAGTGCACTACTAGAGATAGCACAGTGCTAAAGGATTACAAAAAGTCAGAGTGTATTCTGGAGCAATTAACATGAACTAAATCCTAAAGGAAGAATCTCAATCAAGGGAAGAAGAGGAATAAAGACATTTAGGGTGGAAAAGATGGCAAATATGAAAGGCTCAGTTGAAATACATGGAAGACAAGAAAGAATAACCAGAGTATTTAGATTCCTTCCACCAGTGCAAATCGGAGAGCTGAGAGTCTCTCAAGTGTACACAGCCTTCTTCAGACTGCATTCCCCACCTTAGAGAGATAACAGGCAGTTGGAAGGTCAAGAATTTGAAGTCAGTATTAGCTAAAGAACCTGCTAGGGAAGTTAGCTCTGAAGATTCATAAAGGCTCTTTTTTTTTTAATTTTTTTTTATTTTTTATTTTTTTGTAATTGTTGTATTCTGCTACCTTTCCTATCCCCTACTATCCCCCCTCCCCTCCCCTCCCATCTTCTCTCTCTACCCCATCTACTGTAACTCAGTACTCTCCTTGTTTATTTTCCCATTCCCCTCACAACCTCTTATATGTAATTTTGTATAGCAATGAGGGTCTCCCTTCATTTCCATGCAATTTCCCTTTTCTCTCCCTTTCCCTCCCATCTCATGACTCTTGTTTGTGGGACACTTTTTCTTTTAGACTAATCAACTAAAAGAAAAAGCAAAAAAAAAACCAAACAAACAAACAAACAAAAAAACTACTTGAGAACCTTGAATATACACATATTAAAAACAAGAAACTAATCAAATCCCAAAGTAATGTGCAGTAACCAGCATTGTTCCACTCTTTCTTTTCTTCAGAATGAGTTCTCCCATCCTGATACTTCCCTACTCTGCAACCCCCAAAGCACCATCATAGCACTTTAGAGTAAGAGGAAATTCAAAAAAGGAGACTGCAGGAATAACAGATTTTTACATTCCAAACTGATGTGAAAACCTTAATTTGAATTTGGCTCCTATGAATGAAGCTGCAGACAACACAGAACTTCTCCGAGGAGAATTTGAGTAAATGAAGTTTCCAGATTTGCTCATTGCACCAGCTTAATTCTTAAGAAAAAGAAGGCATGAATTACAGGTTGCTAGAAATATTTAAACACTAAGTGAAACCAGTAGAGGACAGCAGAGAATAGGCATCAAGGTTAGAGCACTGAACAGTCATCATAGATTTTTATCATCTCCATACTCAGGTAAGAAAAGAGATCAGGTCATTGTTCTAGGACAAACAACTCAATTTATCAGGGTTTACAAGATTTGGCACACATTTGCTCAACCACCTTATTTCCTGGAAGAACAGATTATATCTCTTTATTTTCTCCTAAGGTACTGAAAGTGTCCTTCAAAAAAGTTATTTTTTAAGTTTAAGGAGAAGAATCTCTCTAGATCGTAAAGATGCTTAAGTGCAGGTCGTAAAACTCTTATTAAGGCACCTTTGGGCTGGGAACATAGCTCAGTGGTAAAGTATGTGCTTAGCATGCCCAAGGCCCTAAGTTCAATCCCCAGCACCATAAAAGAAAAAAATTCCTACACAGAGTGCTCTGTGAAATGAATTAAGGCATCTTGCCAGTCATGGTGGCGCATGCTTGTAATCTCAGCAGCTCAGAAGGCTGGGCAGGAGGATCATGAGTTCAAGGTCAGCCTCAGCAATTCAGTGAGACCCTGTCTCTAAAAATATATTTTTAAAAAGGGCTGGAGATGTGGCTCAGTGGTTGAGTGCACCTGGGTTCAATCCCAGGTACCAAAAAAAAAAAAAAAAAAAGTCTTCCAGGTTTTTCTGAAAGACTCCAGAACATTCCACGTCTCCTACTGGTACTTAGACGGAGTAAAAGTTGTTTAACTTGTCCTCTTCTATATTGTACTGAGGAACTTCAGTCAAGGAAGAACCATTTCCTTTGTCCAATGATATCTGAGAAGTTATTCGAGATTCATCCTAGGGCAAAGACTTACATGCATCACTAGAGGCTGAAGGCATTGCAGCCTTCTATCAGCATGAAACTGACCTCCCAGAAATACTATATGACAATGCTCACAGTTCCCTCAGGGCCTTCACATTTCTATACTCCCTATAACCTTTAGCTAACTCTATGTGACAGTATTAATTTGAATAATTTAAAAATCCAGGCAGGTAACTTGATAACTGAACTTTTAGGTTGGGCTAACTCATATGACTACTTGACATTCTAACAGATCCTAATATTTTTCTAAAAATCTGTAGGTTTCCCATCTATATTCTTCATATAATTTTGCAGTTATTTAAGAACAAAGTACAAACAAAGTCACTAGATTAAAAAAAAATCATATCCTCTAACCCCAACATCATTGCACACACCAGCAGGTAACTAAATTAGGGAACAGGAAACTGGGCCCCACACAATGACTAATCTGAGCTGGCAAAGTCTAAAAGGTTTAAATGATGGTTTTTAATTTCCTTTAATTAAATGTTCTGATTATTGCCAAGCACAGTGGCACATACGTATAATCCCAGTGACTAGGGAGGCTGAGGCAGGATTATCTTAAATTTGAAGTCAGCCTCAGCAATTTAGCAAAACCTTCAATAACTCAGACCCTGTCTCAAAAAAAAAAAAAAAAAAGGCTGGAGATGGAAATGTAACTCAATGTCTCAAAGGTAAGGCAACCCTGGCTTCAACCCCTAGTACCCCCCCCAAAAAAAGTTCTGATTGCAGATCACCTTGAAAGATCATCTGGGTTTTTTTCTTTCAAGAATTGAGAGGTTTTTTTTTTCTTCTTAATTTCTACTACAAAACTATGCTGAACAATCACTGCTTTCACTTATAATAGTAAAACTTTAAAGGATTCTTTTAATAATAAAAGTACCCTTAATATTTATTATGAAGTTCTTTTATTGAACGAAGGTAATATTAAGCTATAAAACTCACTCATATGACATCAAGTTTGTTTTTAGGTAACACATTCTAAAGAAAAGCAAACCAAAGTTCACAACTTAAAAAGCAG